AAAGCCAGAAATACCATCCACACCTCTGCCCCAGGAAGCAGCCCCTGCCTCTGCCTGATGAAGAGCAAGACTCCCCCTTGACAGCTAGCTTCCTGCCTTCTAGTCACATCTCTCAAGTAGGGATAAAGAGAGGGGTCTTCATGCTTTTTTTGTCTCACTGTGTTGCCCAGACTGGCCACTAACTCTTGCCCTCTAGTGATCCTCCTGCCTCTAGCTCCCAAAACACAGCAATTACAGGTGTGAACTGCCACACCCAGCAGCTTCTTACTCTTTAAACAAAACACAGAATTTTCCTTGAGTTCCTGGAGAGGATTGCCTCTTCAAACTCAAAATCTTTCCAGGACACCTTGATCATTCCATCAGGCTTTCTAGATTGAAGGCAGAAGAAACTGCAGCTCATTGACCCCCATGTCTTACATGGCTGGGGCAGGAGGAAGAGAGAGCACGGGGAGGTGCTACACACTTTTAAAAAACCAGATCTTGTGAGAACTCTATCATGATGACAGCACTAGATGACTGGTGCTAAACCATTCATGAAGTCTCTGATTCCATGATCCAATCACCTCCTACCCAGGCCCCACCTCCAATATTAGGGATTACAATTTGACACAAAATTTGGGGGGGGACAGATCCATGGCAAATCAATAACTGATACAGATGACATGTAAAACTGAGACAGAATGAGGTAATTCATGGACTAAGTATAGACACAGAAGAAAAGGAAAACTGAAGGCTGAACCTATGGCCTCACTCTAATTTAAATAGGTCAGGCAAGAGCAGGGGAACCAGCAAAGGCAGCTGAGAAAGAACATCCAGGGCTGCAGGTGGAGTACTGTGAGACAAGTGAATCAAAGAGAGAACACGAGGAGTGGAGCCAGAGTATGTATTGACCATTCTTTTGTGAAGTTTTGCCACAAAGGGGAGTGGAGAAAAGGTGCAGGTTCTGGTATAGGAGATAGGGTCAAGACTAATTTGTTTGTTTTGAAGATGAGAGAAATAGCTGCATGTTGTGTGATGATGAGAAGAGACCAGTAGAAGGGAAATAGTAATGATGGTGGAGAGAGGATAGAATGGCTTGAGTGACACCCTGGAGCAGTAAGAGATGATGGAATTCAGCAGACCAGTGCAGGATTCTTTGGGTAGACAAAGCAGTGGTTCATCCACAGTCACAGGCAGGCAAGAGGAAACAGATGATTGGAGGTGGAGGTGGGAGTCTGTGTAAGACTTTTACCACTGCTATTCTCTTAAAAGTAGGAGGCAAGGAAGGGGGAGGCAGTGGGAAGGATTGAACAGAGAGGAGCAAGTGTAAAATACTCATTTGGAAAAATGGAAGATTGAACAGACCAGGATTACTCTGGCATGGTCCTGTTTTTCTCCAGCCATGTTTAGTTGTATGGTTGTAGCATGGAATAGATGGAGAGCTGGGTTTACCCAGGGCTTCCATTTACCAAGCAGATAGGAGGTGACAGGGAGGTGGGTGAACTGAGGTGTTCAAGGGACTAATGAGAATGATTGACCATGGAGTTTAAGCTGGCTCACTAGAGAGGGAAAAGTAATTAAGGAAGAAATAAACAGTGAACGAGTAGTAAGATGTGGATTGGAGGTGCTGGTAAGGTTGCAGGTGTTTTGTTTCAGGGCAGTGTACGGAGTAACCTGAATAGCTAGGAGGCGGTGGTCAGAGTGGGATACTGTGGAGGTTGCAGTCTGTGGACCTGACAAGGTCTAAGGTCTGATCACGGGGGAAAGGGGAAGCTGAGGTAGGGCAGAAGACAAGAGTGGACTTTGTGAGACCAAAAGGATGTTAGAATGATTATCTTCCCGGATAGTGAAATATCCAAGAAGTAGGAGGCCTAGTGTGAAGAAGTGACAACCTCCTAGGCTCTTCATGGATAAGGGAAGTTTGCATCATATGGGTTGCCTCCCTAGTCCAACACCCAGTATATAGTGTATGCAGAGTGAATACATGGGGGTTTTGAGAACAAGGTCCCTGTAAGAGGACCTGAAGCCTAGGGGCCTCAGTGACAGGAGTGGCCTGGTTTTTTGGTGTAGAATTGAGCCTTGAGTACACCAGTGGAATCATATTTAAAAGAAACCCACCAAGATTAGAGGAAGATGCATCCTCTGACAATGTATGCTCTGTAGGCATCCCAAGTAGCTGGGCTGGAGGTCAGACGGACTCCAACGCATTTCCTCAGGTGGGAATGGACAGAGACCTGGGAAGGCAAAGCTGTGCAGGAAGAAAATGGCCACATGCTACATTCCCTCAGGGAAGCCCCCTTCCCAGGAGCACTGAAGGCAAGGCAGTTTAGGCTGGGTCAGTTTGTCCCTGTCCTCAGAGTCTGTTGGTCCTGGCAAAAGAGGACCTTATTTTATTTATTTTTCTTTGAAATAGTGTCTCGCTCTCTGGCCCAGGCTGGAGTGCAGTGGCTCAATCTCAGCTCACTTGCAACCTCCGCCTCCAGGGCTCAAGCGATCCTACTGCCTCAGCCTCGAGCAGCTGGGACTACAGGCGCCAGCCACGACGCCGGCTAATTTCCCCCTCCGCCCGCCCCTCAACCTCGAGAAGGGGGTCTCCCCATGTTGCCCAGGCTGGTCTTGAACTCCTAGGCTCAAGCTATCCTCCTGCCTCGGTCTCCCAAAGTGCGGGGATTACAGGTGTGAGCCACCGCACCCGGCCAAAAGAAAGCTTTAGGGCACACCGGTGCGCGAGATGTCCCTCATCTGTCATCTTTAAAGAGGAGGAAGTGGACTCCCAATCGAGCGATAGTCCATTCCTCCCCGGCACGGTGACCCCGCAGAGGCCAGGACCAAATGTGCCTCCTTCCGGCTTTTGTAACACAGCAAGTTACCGGCGCCAGGTCGCACAGCCTCCCTGGCCTTCCGGGAGGACTCCGGCAAGCGCGATGAACGCTGCTGGGGAGTCCCACCGCGGGAGTTGAGGCCGCGGATTCCAAGGGTGAGAGAGGGCGGAATCGGAAGCGGCGCAGACTCTTTGGTCCGCACTGCGTGGACGGCGCCTGCGCGTACACTCAGCTGTTCACAACTGGTTCTTCCGGCTCTCCACTGAAAGTCGTCCCCCTGCCGGTTTCTTTTTTCTGCCTTCTTGTTTCCCTCCGGCGAGTCAGCGCGATGGTGAATTTCCGTTTCCAGTGGTTTCCTTGCGGACTTTAGGGAGTTGAGATTGTGATCTGATTCAGTGCGTGGCTGTGGTAGGTGTCGGTAAGGTCCCTGGATCTTGGTAACTGGGAGGCTTGCCAGTCATGCGGGTGGGAAGGTCGTTCCCCGGTCCTCCGGGTCATCTTTGCTCCAGAGAATCGGCATATTTCGCATTTATGGGAGGTGTGCCGGGGTCGTTGGAAGAGTGACGGGACGGGGAGGGAAGGTAGCGGAGAGACAGCATTTCCCGGAGATGGGGTCCTCGCAGGCGACTTAGACCTGAGCCGGATCTGTTGACCCCAAATCGTGCTTTTCCCACCAAGAAGAAAGGCTTGGAGAGAAAAACATTACAAGTTCGGAACTAAAACATAGTAGAGAAGAAACATAATCTCTGAAATCACACAGCTGTTCAGTTTCAAAGCGCTGCTAGTGCCCAGCTCTAACTTCCGACCAGCGTTCCTTGAATTTCTGTTGACATGTAAAGACTTAATGGGTGGGAGGCCGAGGCGGGTGGATCACAAGGTCAAGAGATCGAGACCATCCTGGTCAACATGGTGAAACCCCACCTCTACTAAAAATACAAAACATTAGCTGGGCATGGTGGCGCGTGCCTGTAATCCCAGCTACTCAGGAGGCTGAGGCAGGAGAATTGCCTGAACCCAGGAGGCGGAGGTTGCGGTGAGCGGAAATCGCGCCATTGCACTCCAGCCTGGGTAATGGGAGCGAAACTCTGTCTCAGAAAAAAAAAAAAAAAAACACTTTTATTTTCCACACTGGTATATGTGCCTGTGGGAAGCCTCTGACTCACCTCCATGCTCCAGTGCAGTCTTCCAATGTATCCCTCATTGCATGGCATGGAAGATACTAGTTTGGATTTCCCTCTGCAAATCAGATCATAGCTGTACCCATTTACTGGCACAGTGCCTAGCACATCATAGACAGACACAAATATTTATTAAATGGAATTAATACAGTACCTTAATTGAATTAAATGGCACCCTGCCCCACCTTTTTAAAAACAAGCTGTCAGATTTTATGTACCCCGATTTTCTAAAAGCTCACTAATTCAGTGATTACGAACTTATTGGCCACAGATTGCCAGGTAGCTCAGAAATCACTGGAAGGATCTCTGTAAGTCCATGGAATCTCCAGGCATCATCTAGAACCAGTCATTTCTCACACATACAGATAACTGCTATTTTTCAAATGTATGTAGATGAGTTGTAATTTAGAAGTTTTACAGAGTCAACAGGTACTAAAAGTAATACTGCGATCATATTGGAGGTTCATAAAAACGTTTTTAGGTCTGGCGCCGTGGCTCACACCTGTAATCCCAGGACTTTGGGAGGCCGAGGCGGGTGGATCACCTGAGGTCAGGAGTTCAAAACCAGCCTGGCCAACATGGTGAAATCCCATCTTTACTAAAAATACAAAATTAGCAGGGTGTGGTGGTGCATGCCTGTAATCCCAGCTACTTGGGAGTCTGAGGCAGGAGAATCACTTTGAACCTGGGAAACGGAGCCAAGATTTTGCCACTGCACTCCAGCCTGGGTGACAAGAGCAAAACTCTGCCTCAAAAAAAAAAAAAAAAAAGTTTTTACATGTTTTTATTGAAATTTAAGTTTCAGTTTAAGTTAGGAAATCACTTCATTAGTCCCGTTGATCTAAGTCTGAGCTGTCCAGTATGGTAGCCACATGTGACCATTTATAGAGTGGAATCAATTACAAATTCATTTTTTCAGTTTCTCTAAGTACATTTTAAGTAACCACATGTGGCGAATGGCTAAATGGCTGTAAAGTACAGATACAGAATATTTCCACCCTTGAAGAAATAAATACTTTTGATATCAACACTTAAGATGATTAAAAAGTAACCATAAAATGAAACCTTTGCAGAGGTAACTCATCTAATTTATAGCATAACAGAAATGAAATTGGGGATGGTTAAGCAGTTTCCACCCTTGTTCAGTGAACAAATACATTATCTCTTCACAAGGAAATAAATGAAATTTACTGTTTTTTCCCTGGGTATTGCCTGGATTGTAAAATGCTTCTCCCACATCCTTACCCCAACCTTCTTCCTTGTAGGTTAGAGTTACTTGTTATTGGTAAATAGGCACTATGGAGGCTAAGGAACAGAAGGAACACAGAAAGAAAAACAGTGGGCCCAAAATTGAAAAGAAAAAGAAGCGCGGCATCTGCAGTATCTCCAGCTAGGAGACAAAGAAGATTCCCAGAAGAGAAATCCCAAAGCTTTTGCAGTTCAGTCTGCTGTGTGGATGGCTCGACCCTTTCACAGGTATGTTTGGCTACAGTCTGGTGGTTCTTCCACTGATGCTTTTTAAATATTAGGAGCCTCTAACAGGTGACATTTGGATTCACGAGTCTAGTCCAGCTCCAGAGGACGTGGAGATGCATGCTGTGTGGCTTTCACTAAAACATGAGAAATCTTTCCCATAGAAGCTGTGTTGCCTTCAGCATCTGCACACTGGTTGGTGTTTCTTGCCCAAGATAAAAGCATTCATAGAATTTGTTTGTTCCTAAACTTTAAACTGTTTCTGTGGTAATAAATGTGCTTTTTCCCTCTGGATATGTTTTACATAGTTGCCATATAAAATAAAAAAATTACAGTATTTAATACTAACATAGCTTTGTTTAGTGAGTCCTTGTGATATGCCTAGCAATGTACTTTAAACATTTTTCAACTAAATGTTTCCAACAGCCTTACCAGAGTAAGGCTGCCCTCATTTTGGGGATAAGAAAACTGAGGTCAAGAAAACAAGTTATCTCCAATCATATAACCAGTAAATAGAAGAGTCAAATTTAACTCTAGAGCTTCTGCTCTTATCTGGTATGATGCACTGCCTCGGTAGTTACCTTTTACTATTAGTCACTCATAAAACCCAGTCAGATACAAGGGGTGTTTAATTTTCAACTCTATATACTATTGAAGTCATCTTGTTACATGTTATCAAATAGCAATTATTTGGATGGGGGCCAGAAATTAAAAAGTTAATATATTTATATATTGTCTGTCGCACTCTCTAAAATACTAAAGTACTCTCTATAAGTATACTAAAAAAAAAAAAAGCCTACTTATAAGATTGATACCTTTTACTCTATTTTGAAAATGAGTTTACTATTTTTGGTTTTCATGAATAGAACTCAGGATTTGAAGACAAAGAAGCATCATATTCCAGTGGTTGATCGAACTCCACTAGAGCCCCCACCAATAGTGGTGGTGGTGATGGGGCCTCCAAAAAGTTGGAAAGAAAACTTTGATACAATGCCTCATTCGGAACTTCACCTGGCAGAATTTGACGGAGATCAGAGGCCCAGTGACAATCATGTCAGGTAGGAGATGCTGCCACAGACACAGTTGGTGTGGCTGTTGTCATCTAAGGAACATGCATGTGTTTGTTGTTTTCTTGTGGAACATATTAAAGATTGTCACGTCATGTTAACCTCTCATGCTTTTACTAAGTTGGCTATAGCTTCAGAAAAGGGTAAGTTCTCAGAGATAAGGATGTGATACATGTCTTATCATGACTGCCCTATGGCTTTGCCAGGTATGTTCCTTGGAAGGGCCTAGGAGGCCTGGTCACCTGGTGAACACATCATTTAACACATAGCACACACTTCCCATGTACCAGGCGCACATGCTTGCCCTTATGAAGCCACATGCTGGTGGAAGTGAGTTTTCTCTTTTTCCTATGATAACTTGTCTGCTTTGGGAGATGGTGACCTTTCCAAGTTTGAGGGAAAATGAAACAAGCTTCCAGTGGGAGAATGGCAATGTACAGTCTGAAATCTTTTGTTATTGCAATAATATAGTTGGATTGAGGCTTTTCTTTATCTTTGGAGCATCCATATTTTTCTTTTTTTGAGACAGAGTCTTACTCTGTGGCACAGGCTGGAGTGCAGTGGGGTGATTACAGCTCACTGCAGCCTCAACCACCTAGGCTGCTCAAGCAATCCCCCTACCTTAGCCTTCTGAGTAGTGTATGCCACCATGCCTGGCTAATTTTTCCTTTTTTTTTTTTTTTCCTTTCCCTGGAAAGATGGGGTTTCCCCATGTGACCCAGGCTGGTCTCAAAACTCCTGGGCTCAAGGGATCTACCTGCATCGGCCCCCCAAGGTTTTGGGACTAAAGGCGTGAGCCACTGTGCCCAGCCCATATTTTCTTGACCATTTTCTTTTTACCTTAATCTAGATAACATTCAAATTTTGAACATTTAATGCTTCTGTTAATAAAAAAAAAAGTGTCGCTACTAATGTAGTGTAAGCTTACTAAATCTTGTGTACTTGAAATGATTGAGATAGTTGAAAGAAGTCATTTGTTTCTCTTTTATTTAAAATGTAGCAAGTTTCTAATTTTGAAGACATACATATTAAGAGATGCCATTACATTTTTATTTTTAATTATTATGAATACATAATAGTTGTACATATTTATGGGGTACATGTGGTATTTTGATAGAAGTATACAATATGTGATGATCAAATCAGGGTAGTTAGGATATCTATCACCTCAAACATTGATCATTTCTTTGTGTTAGGAACATTTCAATTTCATTCTTTTAGTTATTCTAAATTAAAATTATAGCCACCCTATTGTGCTGTTGGACACTAGAATTTATTTTATTGAAGTGTATTTTTTTTATCTGTTAACCTCCCTGCTACCCTTCACAGCCTCTTAACCATCATTGAGAGAGATGCCTATTATGTAAATCTTTTTAAGATTTTCAAAAGGCACACACACACACGGTAAAGCACTCTAACTGTAATGCAGGGTACACACAATGCACATTTTCTTTTTCCCTGTTCTAACTGCTGGTCTCTCAGATCCCTGCAGAGCAGTATCCTTCCAGATGTGTATAAACACACACGCCACCCTTTAAAAACACAAATGGTAGCTTATTTGACACACTGTTCTGTGCTTTGCTTTTTTCATGTTATATAGCTTGGAGGTATGTAATCAGTAAGTATTGTAGTTCTTCCTCCTTTTTAATCCATTCTATGGATACACCATAATTTATTTAGCCTACCTTATGTTGCTTGCTCTGCTCTGGGCTGTCAAAGCCTCCTGAGTACACAGAGGCACACACAATATGTAAATTTAGGTGCGTACATGTGTGTGTGGATTAGGGGAGTAACACTGGCTTAGATGACAAAGATTGGCAGCTGAGGTACTGTTTGCCCCCTGTTCTTCCTGACCCTACAACCAGCTGCTTGCCCTTTGGCACTCTGTGGCATCAGATGTGATGTGAAGATATTCCACCTGTCCTTTGAGCTGGTCCAGTGTTGCTAGAGGTCTCTGCTTGCTGCCTCAGTCTGCAGTGACAGCTGTGCTTTCTCACAAGCCCAGCTTCATATATTCTGTGGTTTCGGATTTTGAATGTTTCTCAGTTTAATCAAAGATGGGCATTTCTGTTTCCATTTTTTTGTTGTTGTTATTTTTAGTTGTCTAAGGAAAGATAAGAACAGAAGTGTCTTTAATATTAAAACTAGAAGTTTCCAGGAATCGATTCTGAAATTATTTTGCATCTTTGAAGTGTCTTAAATTTTAAAAATTGGTCTTACCTGCTTAAATTTTCTTACAGACTACGATTCATCATAATCATACTATATTTTGACTTAAAAAAAATTATGAGCAATTGAGTTATACAAATCAACATAAAGATGAAGGTTTCCACTGCATACTTCCCAGCAAAAAACAAATTTTTTTCTATGAGGAGATTAAAACATATTTAATATTTCATTGATTATCATTTTCTTCCCATTCTTTGGGTGTCAAGAGACCTGTTATTTGGCTTAAAAATACCTTACAGAAAACTTCGCTTCTTTAAGTTAGGATTTCTTAGGTAAGGTCCAGGTTAGACCTAGCCTTTTCTGAGTACTTCTCATACATTGAAATTCTTAAAATGAAAGTTTGTATCCTAGTGGCCGTTGTCTTATGGTTACCTTTTAAAGCAAGTCAGAGGTGGGTGGTTTCTCACTAATAGGGTGATGCCTATTAGTCATTTGATTTAGTCTGGATTGGGACTTTTCTGTCAAGGGTCAGATAGTAAATATTTTTGGCTTTGTGGATCATATCTCTTGCAGCTATTTAGCTCTGCAGTTGTAGTGCACAGGCAGCCATAGACAATATGTAAATGAATTATGTGGCTGTGTCCCAATTAAAGTTTAGTTACAAAACCAGGAGTGGGGCTGGATTTGGCCCATGGGCCAGTTGCCAACCCCTAGTGTAGGTGGTGTGTTTTGGTAGTTTCTTTGAGAAATGATGTGTTCTGCTTTTAGGTACTGATGCTTATAGATGCCAGCTTTGGGTTTGAAATGGAAATGTTTGAGTTTCTAAACATCTGTCAAGTACATGGCTTCCCTAAAATTATGGGAGTTCTCACCCACCCGGACTCCTTCAAGCATAATAAGCAACTGAAGAAGACAAAGAAGCAATTAAAACACAGGTTCTGGAGAGAAGTTTACCCAGTAGGAAGAGAAATGATTGTTGGATACTAACAGTATAATCCTTTTAAAATAGACTGAAGATTTCAGGCACAGTGGCCCATGCCTGTAATAACAGCACTTTGGGAGGCAGAGGCGGGCGGATCACTTGAGCCCAGGAGTTTCGAGCTCAGAGCAACATGGCCAAACCTATCTCTAATAAAAATGCAAAAATTAGCCGGTGTGGTGGCATGCGCCTGCAATTCCAGCTACTTGTGAGGCTGAGACATGAGAATTGCCCTAACCTGGGAGGCAGAGGGTGCAGTGAGCTGAGATCATGCCATTGCACTCCAGCCTCGGTGACAGAGTGAGATTTCATCTAAAAAAAAAAAAAAGACTGAAGAGACATTATTAAACATCTCTATAGCATTCACCTCTGGAATTTCCTTTGTGTGTGTGTTTTCACAGTCTCTGGAAGATTTCCCTCAAGAGACTGCTTATTCTGAGCCTCTTGGTGTATCTCACTGGTCTCTTTTACCAGCTGCACCAGGTAGTGTCTGGCTGTTTTGGGATCAGGACTTTACATAGAGTATATCAGGAGTTCCTCGCAGTTATAGGACCAGGCACTGCCCCTTCCTTTGCATACTGCTTTGGTTCATTGGCCACAGAACTGTTTCTGTGTTCAGAGGCCTCACCTCCTTCTCCTCACCATTCTTAGACACTTCTGCTCAGCTGCAGAGCAGTCTGCCTCTGTGGGGTTCTAATAAGTCCTGAAAGAAGCCAGCAAGGCTCTGGAAGCCTCAGGACAGTGGTTTGCTGGAAGTCTCCCTTCTTACAATTGCTTCTTGTTTAGAGTTTTTATTTTGCAGCAGTATTAATAAGAATTTAATTGAAATTTAAGTTTTAATTTTCCTTTAATGTTTAGGGTGCAAAGCTCTTCTACCTTTCTGGAATGGCGCATAGAGAATATCAAAACCAAGAAATCCACAACCTGGGCCGTTTTATTACAGTTATGAAGTTTAGGCCTCTCACATGGAAAACTCACCCTTATATCCTGACAGACAGGTAAAAAGTGAGTGTAAACTTTTTCTTCCTGGGCCATATATTTCAAAATTAAGAAGGCTAGAAAAAGAAAAGAACAGTGATAGGATTTATTTTGTGCCAATTTGAATAGTGGGGGTAGAAGTGTAGTTGATGGAAAATGTCTACTTACTTATTGCTCCAAGATGCTGTGCCTTTGGGAGTAAATTAATTATGAGATGTTTAGGAAAATGGGTGGATTTGGAAGCATTTAAGCCTACAGGATATGGCCCCATCCTACATTCAACCTCAGGTTTCGGTGATGCTGCCTTGTTTGTGTGTGCCTTCAGTTTCCTTCCTTTGCACTCTTCCTCGTGGTTTTCTCAGCCTGGAATACCCTTTTTCCACCTGCCAGAATCCACATCACAGTAAAAGTCCCAGAGTACAGGCTCACCTTCTTCCAGAAAGGGATTTTCTGAATATGTTCTTCACTCTTCCCTGACCCCAGGTGGACGTCATCTCCCTGTCTGGTTTTTTATGGAATGAGTGCCACTTTCAGCCTAGAGACACAGTTGTGTGTCTGTCCCTTTTCCTCTGGTGGATGGTGAACACTGCTTCCTTATTTCTGCATTTTCTAGTTTTCTAAACAACGTGCTTAGCAGACAAGAGTGTGATGAGTCACTGACACATGAAAGGAGGGATAGGAAGTTCTGGCATTCATTTCTGCTGTATGGCTGAGTTTATTTTTCTAGGATGGAAGATTTGACAAACACAGAGGATATCCGAACAAACATCAAATGTGACCGGAAGGTGTCACTTTATGGTTAAGAGGAGCGCACTTGAAAAATAAAAGCCAGATTCACATGCCAGGTATTGTCTTGTTGTTAGAATGCTAGAATTACACATGGGATTCTCGAGATTGCTTCATTTCTCAGGAAAACTGAAAAATGACCAAACAAGGGAAGGTGGCCTTGCTGGAGGTTTTAAACCCAGCTATGTTTAGGCCTGCAATGGTGTTATCGAATCCCCTCCTCTCTGACTTCTTGTCTTGTAGTGAGAGGGGCACTATTCCAGTGTGGCACAATGCCCTTCTTTAGTGTCATGGTTTAAGCTCTTGGACTGTGGATCATTTTATCCCCACAGTGAACAGTAGGTACTTACTGATTGACTTCTTGTCAGCTGAAGCTGGCTTTTTAAAAGGGTCCTGTGTTCTAGGTGTAGGAGATTTCACCATGAGTGACGTGTTTCCTCCCAGACCCTTGTGCTCTTCCTGAACAACAGAAGTGCTGTTTAAATGAGAAGAAGAAGCTGGTTTATGCGCCTCTTTCTGGAGTTGGGGGTGTGCTGTGCGATAAAGATGCTGTCTATGTTGACCTTGGTGGCAGCCACGATTTTCAGGCATTGGTGAGACACAGTCATTGTTCTGAATTCATTCTTCTTTCCTAATCTATTTTTTAATCACAAAAGTAATGTACTCAGCTTTTATTTATTGAAGACTTTTCTCTTGTACTTATAATAAAGGTCCAAATGCATATTGTAAATATATAGAATAAAAAGAAAACTTTTTTTTCATTATACCAAGAAGAGTCCTGTCCTCCATGCCTCCTTGATCCATGGCCCCAGTGAGGGCACTGCTGCCAGTGTGGCGCCTGCACGGCCCATTCTTGTTTCTACAAAATCAATGTGCTTTCCAACTCTCATTGGTCTTTTTCTTTTTCTCATTCACAGTGGTCTTCTCTGTATTTTAAAGTGGGTTTCAAATGTTTATTTCTTAGTTCTGAAGATAAATTGTATTGGGTTAAAATCAGGGTTATTTTAAAATGTTAGAAAAGCTAGCATTGTGGCTGTAGCATTGGAACTGAGGTTTTTCTAGGTAGGTGTTTAGGTTTTTATACTCCCTGAACTTTGGAAAAGTTTAATGGAGATGGGGATCCATTTCAGGCTTTATTGTAAAGATTTTCTTCTCTGCTTTTTGAGGCATTAAGAAAGTTTCTCAGGAAATATCTCTAAGGTAATTTTGAGAAACTGAGTGAAAACAGTGTCTCTCCAGGATCTTCCTACTTTCTTCATGTCCCCTTTCTTGGTGGTCTTGACAGGACGAAGTGGGGTCCACCCATGAGCTGGTCCAGAGTCTCATCTCCACCCATTCCACCATTGATGCCAAGATGGCTTCAAGTCGAGTGATGTTGTTTTCTGATTCCAAGGCACTTGGGTTGGAGGATATAGATAGTCAAGGGTAAGTCTGCTTTTTCTCTATTTTTAATAAAAGGATATATTACAGAAGATGCATAGTTCTGCCATCAGAACTCATCTTGGTGGGATTATTCCAGGTTGTTTTGTTTTCTTTGTGTGTGCATGTGTCTCTGAGGGCTCTTCACATACCTGACATTACAAGGTAGTATTTTCTTGAAATAAAATACAGGATGCATTTTTCAACAGACCCTAAATATTCCTCAAGTGCCACACTACCTTCCATAAGTTGTTTTTTGTTTTTAAAAGACCTGAGGCCACTGGGCTTTCTTTTGGTGGCCAAAACACTAGAGCAGAGTCAGGGAGCTTGTGGCTGCCCAGAAGCCATGTGCCTTGTCTCTGAAAGTTTTGTTTAGATTATGTTGTATTATCTCCCATAATAGTGGGTAGGTTTCCACTGATGTGTGGCTTATGTAAATTATTTTTCAGTCTAGGTTGGGAATTTGTGTGCCGTTATGCATAGTGGATGTTTGTAAAACATTCGTTTTGTTGTATTGATTTATGACTCCCAGTAAAATTTATCTGAAAATTTTTTGCAATGTGCATAAACTACCTAGCACAATGCCTGACAGATACGAAGTGTTCACCAAAAGATCTCTCTTTTATAATGAGCATTATGAGCTATTTTCATTTTTGCGTATCCTTCTAGTCATCCTTGTCTATAAGAATACTCCCTTCTAATATAGTTACAGTTAAAATACATAGTTTTGTTTCTATATTCCAAGCATTTCCTTTTTCTATACAGTCTTTATGTAGTCATCATTTTGTTATTATTGTTGTATTGTTTTTGTTTGTTTGTTTGTTTTTGAGATAAGTTCTCACTTTGTCTCCCAGGCTGCAGTGCAGTAGTATGATCTTGGCTCACTGCAACCTTGAACTCCCAGGCCCCAGTGATCCTCCCGCTTCAGTCCCCTAAGTACCTGGGATGTGGGAGCCTTCAGCCTGTCTCCTGTGTCCTTTCAACCACTCCCGGCTAATTTTTTTATTGTTTTCTAGAGAAGAGGTCTCACTATGTTGCCCATGTTGGTCTGGAACCTCTGAGCTCAAGCTGTCCTCCTGCCTTGGTCTCCCAAAGTCCTGGGATTACAGATGTGAGCCACTATGCTTGGCCTATTATTGCTGTATTCTAACTTACCCATCTCTTATGGTATGATTTTTAGTGTTTTCTAATTTATGTTTTCATAATTTTATATATCATGCTACGTTAAACAGCTTCATACAGTTTTCTTTCATTCTGTGATTTTAGCCTCCTGATGATTCTTCTCTGTCAGTTGTGGCACTGGTGACTTAAAATGGAATTTTTTCCTCTGTCACTCCTCCTACATTCGTTAGCTGGCATTTTTAACAAAGAGCTTTCCCTTCTCCCCTTTATTTCGGTATCACTGCTGACTAATGCACTTGCGTTTTATTCCATGGGTTATTTTTCTTCACTATCATTATCCTTTCTGATGCCTATGCTGTCCCAGATTCGGCAGTGGGAGCCTTCAGCCTGTCTCCTCTGTTCTTTCAACTGTCTTTGTTAGTCTTTGAGTATTTCTTTCTCACAGAAAAAGATGATCAGGCTCATTTTGCCCTCTTTCTGCTTTGGGCCCAGACTCAGCCATTTCTCTGAAGAATCATGTGTTTTTAGCTTAGAAATAAATCAGCTTTCCAAAAGATCTACAAAATATTAACTTCCCTTTTCAGCAATATTTTTCTAAAATGGATTTTTTTTTTTTAAGAGGGTTATTCCTTTATTCTCTCTGTAAGTTGTTTTGAAGTGTATTAGGGAACCATGCCTGACTTTGCTTATTAACTCTAACAATGTTTATCAGATCATTTTTTTCTCATGTTTTATGTCATCTTAAACAATTCCTTGAGATTTTCTATTTCTTTGTATTTTCATTGACTATATTGCCATTTCTAGATTAGCTGATTAATGTACAAATTGAATTATTTTGCATTTCCTTGGTAATAATATAGGGTGTTGATGCCAAAGGAGGAAAAACAAATGGACTTGAAAATTGGTCGAATGTGTTGGAAAGCCACTTTTGGTGAGGAAGATGGATCTGGAGATAGTGACGATGAAGATGATGATGAAATGTCTGAAGATGACAGGTTGGAAAATGGCTCTAGTGATGAGGAAACAGACAAGGAGGAAAATGCTGAGGTGACTGATGAGTGTATGACTGCTAAGGGCATCAAACGACGGAAACTTGAGGAGTTAGAAGAAGACAGTGAAGTAGATTTGCCAGCATTTGCTGACAGTGATGATGACCTTGAGAGGAGCTCAGCAGAAGAAGGGGAAGCGGAGGAAGCTGATGTAAGCATTGTGGAAGAGGACTGCACTGCAGGAGAGAGGGGCATTTCAGGATCAAAGGCTGTTGGAGAAGCTAGTAAAACAGAGCTGTCGCCAGCTAATCACCAGAGTGACCATGTGAATCTGGAGAAGTCTTTGCTGATGAAGAAAGCAGCCCTCACCATTTCTGATTCTGGGCATTGCACAGCTGAAGAGGTGTTTGCATCTGAAGATGAATCTGAAGAAAGCTCCTTGCTCAGTACAGAGGAAGAGGACTCAGAAAATCAAGAAGCTCTTAGGAAAAAGCTTTCAA